GGACGCAAAAGATTAGAAGGCCCTTATCCCTTTAACAGCCATAGGTTATCCTGCATTTGAATCATTGGGAAGAAAAATGCCTTCAAATCATTTCATCTATTAAAGTATCAAGTGGAGTATAAGATGCACTGAACATTGAAAATACGGCAAAGTCGAATGCCTGCCATGAAAGCAAGATCAAAACTAGTTCAGCAGCCAAACCGCAAAATACCTGAATTTCGAACAGCAATTTTTATGAACAAATAGACCACTGACAATGCCATACCATCTTACACATATTCGTAACCTGACTTGAAATTACACAAATTTACAAATGTATGACAATCACTAAACGGCTGCTCATTTCGCGACAATATACAAAATAGATTAATTGCGCGAATGAATACTAAAATCTGACAAACTAAAAGGAGTACCGCCATCAGTTCAACCATGTGAAGTGGCAGCTTCAGCAAGACTTCAGAGTAAAATTCCTATTTCGACCGCTTTAAAACTTATGATATAATCAATCAGATTCCTTATACAGATGTTTACTCGTTTATATCCGATATAAACAGGTGAACCTAGTAACATACGTAATTTAATAGAATGACAGATGAATGCATCTACATTCATGTATGAGATTTTCTCCTTGTCAATAAATTAATAGACATATAAAGACATATTTATGCATAAACCTAAACATGGATAGCGAGGGAACTGACGGGCGGGGTAGGGAAAACTGAAAGAAGATTTGTGACTATCAAGAAAGCAATTTACGTTAAACTCCTACATCAAAATAAAAATTTTTAAGATAAAACCCTAGATTTCCGCTACTCATTGCCAGCTGATGCAGCCAGAGAGACAGAGAAACAAACAAACATTCAAAAACGGTCATTTATTTCTCCATCAATCAATCAATCTATTATGAATGAGTGCGAATAGATAAAGAAATGAACTGATACATATACATCGATCCATCTGTCAATTTACTTATCTCATTATAGTGACTGGCTGATGGAGAGACAGGTAGATAAACTTATGCATAGACAGAAAGTTGTATTTATATGCATATCCACCTGTCTACCACTCAGTAACCAATGCTTTACTGAACAAATG